GGTGGTGCTCTAGCTCACCTCCTATGCACACAAGGTGTTCGATGGAATGCCCGAGCCACAGTACTTAAGCTTTCTCCTCTCCAAGCTCGACCTCCAAGCTCCATTTTCCATAATATTTGTCTAGATTTAGCGGTCCGTCATGCCCCGTCCCCGTCTTCACTGGCGTCGATCACCCGCGCCGAGCTCATCGCCGGCACCACCATGGTGAGCCTCTTGTTCTTATCTTCTTTCTGAAAGGAAAAAATATTCTTACTTGTATGTTTACATAGATACTTATGTTATTTTCTTACTTTTATTATTGCATGTTATATAGTGCGATGGTTTTGGTATCCGCCCCCGTCGGCCCTCGTCCTGTCTATGATTCGGATGTGGTATATATATTATCTTTATAACTATTGGTTCATTTGTTGTTTATGAAAATTATGCCGACCAACGTGACATAGATTTTATTTATGTAGGATGTATGTGAATCGGAAATGCCAACCGACCCTATTGTCGAGAGGTTAAATTTAGTTGAAAAAAAAACAATTTATTGAAGGAAAAAAAATTGAGGAGGAGAAGATGATATTAGGGTTGCATGTTGCGGATGTCGTCGATGATCACAAAATCAAGATGGATGCAATGCGCTTAAAGATTAGAAAGATTAGAAAATATGTTATTCATACCGAGGCTTGGTATCATTATGCCGTTGGATCAATTGTTACCTTGGTTTGCGATTATGATCGCATTTGTTTTCGCATTAAAATGTTTAGTTTCAATGTATGGTTTAATTAATTAGATGCTCTAGAGAGCTATATGTTGTTAGATGAGAACTATGTATGCACTTTGGTTTTAATGTGATGATGAACTTTTATTAATTTGGACACTTAATTATATATAATGCACGCAGATGAACCGTCAATGGATGTACGGTGACAGACACACCTGCGAGTACATTAAGGGCGTGCATGAGTTTCTCGATGTGGCTGACGCAAACAAGCAGAATGGTTTTATGTGTTGTCCATGCACTGAATGTGGGAATACGAGGTCTTACTCTAACCGGAAAATCCTTCACTCCCACCTGCTTTACAAGGGTTTAATGCCACACTATAATGTTTGGACGAGGCACGGAGAAATAGGGGTTATGATGGAAGACGGCGAAGAAGAAGAGTACGATGACAACTATGTGCCCCCTGAATACGGTGATGCTGCAACGGGGGGAGCTGCTGAAGATCAAGAGGAACCAGACGATGTGCCCAATAATTTTTCTAAAACTAATGACACTAACAGAAAGTTTATAATTTTGCTAACCTAAAAGTAAACAGAATTAAAAATTAAAACAAAAAACAAAAGAAAATAAATAATGCAAAAAACAAAACAAAAAAACTGGAAAAAATAACAACAATAAGTATTTTGTAGTAATTAAAAACAAAATAAAATAAATAAAGCAACAAAGAAAAAAAAGAAAAAAAGTGTTTTCAAATTTGAAAACTAATGGCACTAACAGAAAGTTTATAATTTTTCTAAAACTAAAACCAAAAAGAATAAAAAAATAAAGCAAAAAATAAAATAAAGCAACAAAAAAATGCCACCTACTGGGCCCCCACGGCCTGAATACGACTAGAAACCCATCCAAGGGCCAGGATTCAGGCCCGCATGAGGCCCAGTAGGCCCACAGGCATAGCAGTGACAATTAGGCCCGTAAGCCTGCAATGGAGAGAAGCTCGAGAGGGGTGCGGCAGTGGGGCTTATAAACCACTGCGCACCCCTCTCAACTAGCGAGGTGGGACTAAACTTTCGACGCAGCAGCCGCACAAGGCCTTTGGTCCCGGTTGGTGGCACCAACCGGGACTAAAGGGGGGCATTGGTCACGGTTGGTGACACGAACCGTGACCAATGCCTTTGCTATATAACTAGCACTTGTGAAAATTTCCATTCAGGAGGTGTTTGTTTCGTCAAATTCTGCCCGTCACCTGTTTACAGTGTAAACGGATACCCTTACGGGCGTTTGGTGAGACACCTCTGTAATCACGTTCCTCTGTAATCAGTTCCAGATCAGTTATCGAACGATACCCCCCCCACCCCCCACCGGTAAAGGCTTCCTTACCGCCCCCGACTCCGCTCCTCCCCGCGACTCGCTCCTCCCCTCGATCGGTCTGCGCCGCCGCCTCCCTTCGAGTCCCGCGCCGCTGCGCTGCCGCCCCGTCGCCTCCCTTCCAGTCCCTTCGACCCCCTTCGGTCCTCTCCTCCTGGTCCAGCCGCCGGGTTGACCTCGCCACACCAGTCGCCGGGAACGACCACGCCAGCCGCCTCCGATGCCGATGAGGGTGGACCATTGAAGCCGCGTACGAGTAGCAGCAAGGCCCATCCGCCCATCTCCAGATCGATCTCTTCCTCCTCCGTCACTCTCCTACTGCAGATCTCAAGGTTAGGGTTACTAATACATCTGTTCTTGATCTTGAAGTACAAAAATATGCGTCCTTGATCTGTTCTTGATCTTGAAGTAAAAAATATATGTGTCCTTGATCTGTTCTTGATCTACTAATGATCTGTTATAGGTTGATGTATAGCATATATTTCCATCTGTTCTTGATCTTGAAGTAAAAAAAATATGTGTTCTTGATCTATTAATGATTTGTTATAGGTTGATGTCTATTAATGATCTATTCTTGATCTGTTCTTGATCTTGAAGTAAAAAAAATATGTGTTCTTGATCTGTTCTTTTATCAGTGGATGACTAGTGGAGTATAATTGGTGGTCTGTCCTTTGTATTTTTCTGATGTGTTCTTGATCTGTCTAGTTAGGTAACTAGGCAAATAGATGAATTAGGTTGGCTGGTCACAAAAAGGAAGGAATGTGTCTTGTTCGATGCATGTTCGTGCTGTCAATTGGACCATCTTCTTTAGCTTTCTGGTGTGAAATCATATCCTGGTACTTGGAACTTTGCATGACAGTAGATCGACGGTGATATCTACATGCATATCAACTAGATACGGGTTGACTGTTCCTGTAGTTTTCTGAAATGCAATTTTCCTATCCATATGCAGCAGTTGTATTTGTATATGACTTAATTAGGCTTCTGATGTGCAAGTTTTTTTGGTTCCTTTGTACCTTTGCATGACCAATTGCATGTTAATATAATCACTGTTTATTATCTTTCATCTAAGCAGCGGATGTTTGTTTCGTCATCCTGAAATCTATCCAGTTCCTTGTTTTGTACTACTACCAATTATTAGGAAAGAAAGTCATACCAACCTTAAATAGGTATGTTTTCCTTATGCAGTTATGGCTCGTCTTCCCTTAAGTGCGAGGCGTGGAAGGAGAAATGCAATATTTTTGAATCTGACTACTTCCATTATGCTTGTATACTATTATGTGTGGTTCATGTTTGCATTAGCTTATAGGAGAAAATGTTGGCAAATAGAAAGGAGAATTAAAATTAGAGAGTTAAGGGCAGAGAACTTGTATCGACTAATTGGTGAGAGCGACGCTATGTGTATAAGTCAACTTCGTATGGATAGGAGAACATTTCATATATTATGTGAGATGGTGAGAGATGTTGGTGGTCTAAAGGGTACAAGGAACACATCATTAGAGGAGATAGTGGCATCATTCTTGTATGTATTATCACACCATCTCAAAAATAGGACAGTAGGAAAATTCTTCTATCGAAGCCCTGAGCCAATTAGTAGAAACTTCAACGCTTGTCTTCTAGCTGTCTTGAAGCTGCACCATCTGCTACTTAAGAAGCCTGAACCTATACCCGAGGATTGCACCGATGATAAGTGGAAGTATTTCAAGGTAAATAGCTACTAATAAAAAAGTATTCACTAGATGATCTCAATAGTGGTAAAGGATGCTAATATTTGCACATTGCTCTTTATGTTGTAGAATTGTCTTGGAGCATTAGATGGCACACACATAGGTGTAACAGTCCCAGCTAATCTGAAAGGAAGGTATCGATCAAGGTTGGGTGATATAGATACAAATGTGTTAGGTGTATGTGCACCTGACATGCAATTCATCTACATATTACCCGGTTGGGAAGGTTCTGCGCATGATGGTCGGGTTCTTAGGGATGCCATCTCACGGCCAAATGGGTTGCGTGTCCCCGAAGGCCAATATTATCTTGTCGATGCTGGCTACACAAACGCAAAAGGATTTTTAGCTCCATATCGAGGTCAAAGGTATCACTTGGGTGGTTGGACACCACAAAATCCACCTCGTAGCGCAGAAGAGTATCTCAACATGCGCCACGCTAGAGCCCGAAATATAGTAGAAAGGTGCTTTGGAAGGTTGAAGGGTCGGTGGGGGATTTTGAGGTCTCCTTCCTTTTTTTCCCATGAAGACCCAATGTCGAATCATCATGGCATGTGCACTCTTGCACAATCTTATATTGCAAAAGATGTCTGTCGACCCACTTGATATCAACGAGCCAATAATACAAGAAACATTAGAAGACATGGAGGGAGAATTGGACCAACCAGAATTCATCACTTCTATCTCAACTTCGAATGAGTGGACACATTTTCGGAATGAACTTGCTCAGGGCATGTATAATAGACATAGGGCTGCTAGGGCGCATTGAGGTATAAGTTGTTTCTATTTGTTCCTTTCTGTATATATTTTCATCTCATTTACATTTGTTCCCTTTCAATTATATTTGCAAGCTACAATTGCATCTCGTTTGCATTTGTTCTCTTTCATATATATTTGCCATCTTATTTGTACCCATTCTTGCTTGTGCAGATATGGACCGTGCGGATAGCTCGAGCACGTCTCGTGGAAGAGGCAAGAATAAAAGGAATTGGTCTTCTGATGAGGACGATGATCTTATTAAAGCTTTGTATGAGTTATCTTTGGACCCGAGGTGGAAAGCTGATGGTGCCTTCAAGGGTGGATACCTGGGGATATTGGAAAAGCATCTTGCTAAAAAGTGTCCAGGCCGTGGTATCACTGCTTCCCCGCACATTGAATCATGAGTGAGGCACTTCAGGAAGAAATTTGGTGCCGTTGAAGTAATGCTATCCAAAAGTGGTTTCACATGGGATGGAAGTCGAAAGATGATTCAGTGCGAGAAGGCACAATATGAAGCTCATTGTCAGGTAGATCACTTGAACCACTAAAACTGAATTCCTTAGCAATGCTTTATGCTGAATTTCCTTGCTATTGTACCTTGGTTACCTGTTGTTGTAGTGTTTTCTCTTCAGTATTTTTTTTGTATTTGGATCATCCCTTGCTGCCTTGTTATTGCTACTATTCCTAACATGTTCAAGGAGAAAGTAGTACCATTTCTATCCCTTGTTATTGCCCTTGCTATCGAAAACCAACTTTCTTCTTTTGTAAAAAAACATGTAGATTCACAAGGAGGCTAAGGGATTGTATGCTGTATCATTTCCATACTTTGAACAATTGGCTGCTATCTATGGCAAAGACATTGCAACAGGAGAAAGTGCTGAAGGCTTTGGTGAGGCAGTGGGAAACTTGGAGAAGGAAATTGCTATGGAGGAAGAAGAAAATGAGGAAGAGGACATCATCTCAACAGGAATAGCTCGACGGTCCATTGACACTTGCTCTATTGATACAACTAGTTCGAAGAGGCAGAAAAAGGAGCCAAGGCCAAAGAGGGCGACAGGACCAAGCGATCCATTTGCAGCCATGCTTCAAGATGTCAATAGCCAGCTGAACAACATGACACAACATGTGGGTGCAATGACAACATCATTTACAGCAGCAATGGCGCGAGAAGCAGCACAAGAAGACCCTCAACAGAAATCAAAAGAAAAGGCAATTAGTGAATTGTCTAGGCTTGCATTTACTGGGAGCGAGATCGTTGAAGCTGCAACAATATTCGCTAAAGCTCCAGAGCACATGAACATGATGCTTGTGCTTCCAGGCATTCTGAGGAGGGATTTCGTCCTGAAAATGCTGTCTGGTATCCCTTTTTCTAAACTCTCTTTAATAATATGCACTATCTTGTGATGCAGTTTTGGTTTTTCCCGACTGTTGGTTCGTGATCAAACTAGCTAGGTTGCTGAAATCAATGAACTGTAACAAGGTGCAAATGTTCAGCAACTCATGTGTGACCACATTTTTCTAATATGTGATATCTAGACTGCCATATAAATCTGTATGATAGTTGATAAATTATGCCCCTATGTTACATCACTGATTTATAACACATTTTGGTATTCTTGATTGAACTTATTTGTGAACCTTGGGGGTTGATAGCATCATGACATTTATCACCATGAGTGGCTCAAGTGAACTAAAATTTCACTAGTACAGAGCGAATATATAAGCAAGAGTGGTTATTTGCAGTATATATAAGCCAAACTTGTAGTGACATAGTGATGTGTTGTTTTTGGCTGGTCATATATAGGCCAAACTTGTGCTGAAGTTTTTTTCCGTATATCTAACTCCTACTTATTGGCTCCTCATTGGCAGATGAAAGAAAGAAGCAAGGTTGATGGGAAAGAAGGTCCTTCTCCAGTAATGGTGTGACATAACTGGTGTGTACAAAACCCACCTCATTTTACTATTGTTATATATTTGTCAAAAGTGTTGAAAAGCATGGAGTAGATCTCATCCTTTCCACCATATTTTAGTATATGTTCTTGCAGTATACACCACTGTAGTCTGTGTTAGCTAAGAGAGTGCTTTTCATTTCATTGGTCTTGCAGTATACATCATTTTCCTATTGTTATCTTTGTCAAAGTGTTGAAATGCATGGAGTAGGTTCCCACCTTTTCCTTCGTCAAAGTGTTGATGAGAAAGAACAATCATGTTATAGTTGCTCTTAATTTTTTTTATTACTCGTTGTTGCTTGTGTGTTTCTTTATCCTCATTTTAACTCGTGCTTATTGGCAGATGAGAAAATAAGCAAGGTTCATTAGAAAATGGGATCAGTGGTGTGGTGTGGAAGATGAAGATCAATGGAAAAGCAAAGCTTCTTTGCAAGATTGTGAACTTGGCCTTTCTATTTATCCTATAATATAAAAACAATTTTAGGGACTAATTATGTAATTTATTTCGAAGTGTCGTTCAATTCCGAGTTCGTATCATTTTCATTTTAAAAATGTGTAATCGTTAAAGTGGAGCCAAATTTTGGTTAAAAGATGTCTTTGCATTGGATGAATGCAAAAATATATCTAAATTATGTGCTTGTTTGATGCATGTGAAAGCCCATGCTGTGTTCTGTACGTGAAAAGGTACCTATTACTGTGTCAAACCAAACGCTGTTTAGGTACCTGTTTCCTTTACACTGTAGAACCAAACAAAATGGGGTTTGCCCAGTCCGGTGTTGTTACAGTCCGTAATCAGGTTCCATTTACGTTTACGTTACCACTGGACGAAACAAACACCTCCTCAGTTCGTCTTCCTCGCCCGACGCCGCCAGGCTACCCCTCTGTGCCTCGCCGTCGCCGTCGTCGCCCCTTCCTCCGACACTGTCCCGCGCCGCCCAAACGCCGTCGCCACCCCGCGCCGCCCCGACTCCGTCGCCGCGCGCCACCCCGCGCCATCGCGGTCACCTCCCCGTGCCACCCCGACGCCGTCGCCGCCCCGCGTCGCGCCCCTATGCCGTCGCCGCCCCGCGTCGCCACCCCGACGCCATCGCTGCCCCGCCTCTGCCTCGTCGTCGTCGCCCCGTGCCGCCGTCGCCTCTCGCTTTGGTCAGGGCCGTCACTTGTGGGACGTGGATATAGTGTCCGACACCGACGGCCACATGTATCTCACACCCACGATACTTGCTATTTAGGGTTTCCTCTACCGCTCGGTGACCCTCGACGACCCTTGTTTCCGATAAAAAAGAAAGAGGAAGAAGAAGAAAAAAAAGAGGAGAAGAAAGAAGAACTCCTCTATTCCTTCTTCTCCTCTTTTTTTTCTTCTTCCTCTTCTTTTTTTATCCTTGAAGCGTTGTCGAGGCCACCCCAAACCCTAGAGAAGCAGCGTCGAGGCCACCCCAAACCCTAGAGAAGCAGCGTCGAGGCCACCCCAAACCCTAGAGAAGCAGTGTCGAGGCCACTAATTAATATTAGTTCTACGTTTGCCACTAATATATCCATCTGTCATGTTTGAATAATAATTGCCGTGTTGTCAATATTTGTAGAAACTATGGACACTGCCCGAGACGAAGTACAAGAAGAGTTGTTGGGGGACATAATCGCACGAGGAAGTGATGCCGTCGTCTCGTTGTTTCTCAACGACACCGATGGTCTGGAAGCAGCTGGCTATGATTATGATGGCTCCGGTGACCTAATGCCGATGCAAGAAGGAGACCGTGAGGACGGCTCCGGTGACCCAATGCTGGTGCAAGAAGGAGACCGTGATGATGTCTCCGGTGACCGAACTGAGTCCGGCCAGGTATATATATATATTAGTTAAGCTTCTGCTGACTAGCTAATTGATGCATTCATTGTTTTGGTATGTACACATATTAATTAAGTCTTTGTTCTTTTTTCTAGCCCTCCAGATCGAGCACAACTTCGGTAAAGAGACGAGGTCGGAAGAAAAAGTTGAGCTCGGATGAAAAGTTTGAGATCATAGCAATCGTGCCCGACGGCCAACCGATTGAACCCCTCCGGACAAAGAGTGCATTTTTTGCTCAGTGCGGGGTTTTGGTTAGGGACAAGATCCCGATCAGCATCCAGCAATGGTTAAAGCCGGCTACAGAAGACCCTGAGGTGTCTTATGTCAATGATATGCAGAAAAATGATATTTGGACTGAACTGAAGTCAAATTTCACCCTACCGCCAGAGGATGATCCAGAGAAGCCAGTTAAAGAGCAATTAATTAAGTCTTTTGCTCTTAAGAGGATGGCAGAACTATTCAGGAGGTGGAAGAAAGAGCTAAATAAGTTTGTCGAAAATAAAGAGACACCAGAATTCAAGGGCAGATATGAGAAGATCAGAGATCACTGGCCCACATTTGTGTCCCACAAGACATCGGAAAAGAGTAAGAAGATGTCGGCGACAAACAAGCAAAATGTTGCGAAGAAGAAGCATCATCATCGCACGGGGTCAGGTGGCTACCTCGTAGCCCGGCCTAAGTGGGCCAAGACTGAGAATGATCTAGTTGATAAAGGGATCGAACCAGAGACAATTAACTGGCCAGACCATTGCCGGACTTGGTTCTTCGGGGCTGGCGGAACCTTCGACCCTGTAACAGAGAAGTGCTTTTGGACGAACGATCAAATGGACATACCAATCAGGAAGCTTCAGCAGTATATCGAAGCAGCGCAGCAAGGGACGTTCTTTCCAGATAGAGAGAACGGCGAGGTCACAATGGCCCGCGGGAATCCTGAGCACCCTGGACGGACACGAGGCACGCCAGGCTCCATTTCATGGAAGGTTGGGTTTCCGGAGGCAGGCGGTTACAAATCCCAAGAGAGGAGGAAAAAATTGCAGCAGACCCAAATGCAGGCGCTGCAAGCTGTTGGGAAACGTTGCATAAAACAAAAAATTTCCTACGGTTTCACCAAGATCCATCTATGAGTTCATCTAGCAACGAGTGATCGGATGCATCTACATACCTTTGTAGATCGCGAGCGGAAGCGTTCACTAGAACGTGGATGATGGAGTCGTACTCGCCGTGATCCAAATCACCGATGACCAAGCGCCGAACGGACGACACCTCCGCATTCAACACACGTACGGAGCGGATGACGTCTCCTCCTTCTTGATCCAGCAAGGGGGAAGGAGAGGTTGATGAAGATCCAGCAGCACGACGGCGTGGTGGTGGATGCAGTTGTCACGTGCAGCAGGGCTTCGCCGAGCGTCTGCGCGAGAGGGAGAGGTGTAGCTGGTGAGAGGGGGGCGCCAAGGTGCAAGGGTGCGGCTGCCCCTCCCTCCCCCCTTTATATAGGCCACTGGGGGGGGCGCCGGGCCTTGGGAGATCCAATCTCCAAGGGGGGCGGCGGCCAAGGGGGGTGGAGTGCCCCCCAAGGCAAGTGGGGCGCCCCCCCACCCTAGGGTTCCAACCCTAGGCGCAGGAGGTGGGCCTAGGGGGAGCACCAGCCCACTAAGGGCTGGTTCCCCTCCCACTTCAGCCCATGGGGTCCTCCGGGATGGGTGGCCCCATCCAGTGGACCCCCGGGACCCATCCGGTGGTCCCGGTACAATACCGGTGACCCCCGAAACTTTCCCGATGGCCAAAACTGCACTTCCTATATATAATCCTTTACCTCCGGACCATTCCGGAAATCCTCGTGACATCCGGGATCTCATCCGGGACTCCGAACAACTTTCGGATTACTGCATATACATATCTTTACAACCCTAGCGTCACCGAACCTTAAGTGTGTAGACCCTACGGGTTCGGGAGACATGTAGACATGACCGAGATTGCTCTCCAGTAAATAACCAACAGTGGGATCTGGATACCCATGTTGGCTCCCACATGCTCCTCGATGATCTCATCGGATGAACCACGATGTCGAGGATTCAAGCAACCCCGTATACAATTCCCTTTGTCAATCGGTATGTTACTTGCCCGAGATTCGATCGTCGGTATCCCAATACCTTGTTCAATCTCGTTACTGGCAAGTCACTTTACTCGTACCGTAATGCATGATCCTGTGACCAGACACTTGGTCACTTTGAGCTCATAATGATGATGCATTACCAAGTGGGCCCAGTGATACCTCTCCGTCATACGGAGTGACATATCCCAGTCTTGATCCATGTCAACCCAACAGACACTTTCGGAGATACCTGTAGTATACCTTTATAGTCACCCAGTTACGTTGTGACGTTTGGTACACCCAAAGTACTCCTACGGCATCCGGGAGTTACACGATCTCATGGTCTAAGGAAAGGATACGTGACATTGGAAAAAATCTAGCAAACGAACTATATGATCTTGTGCTATGTTTAGGATTGGGTCTTGTCCATCACATCATTCTCCTAATGATGTGATCTCGTTATCAATGACATCCAATGTCCATAGTCAGGAAACCATGACTATCTGTTGATCAACGAGCTAGTCAACTAGAGGCTTACTAGGGACATGTTGGTGTCTATTATTCACACATGTATTATGATTTCCGGATAACACAATTATAGCATGAATAAAGACAATTATCATGAACAAGGAAATATAATAATAATGCTTTTATTATTTCCTCTAGGGCATATTTCCAACAGTCTCCCACTTGCACTAGAGTCAATAATCTAGTTACATTGTGATGAATCGAACACCCATGGAATCCTGGTGTTGATCATGTTTTGCTCTAGGGAGAGGTTTAGTCAACGGATCTGGTACATTCAGGTCCGTATGTACTTTACAAATATCTATGTCTCCATCTTGAACATTTTCACGAATGGAGTTGAAGCGACGCTTGATGTGCCTGGTCTTCTTGTGAAACCTAGGCTCCTTGGCAAGTGCAACAGCTCCAGTGTTGTCACAGAAGAGTTTGATTGGCCCCGACGCATTGGGTATGACTCCTAGGTCGGTGATGAACTCCTTCACC